AAGGAGTGGATGGCAGGAAATAATCAATCTGAGGACTGCAATCAATAAAATAGAGACACAGTGAACAATACAAACAATCAATGAACCAATGAGTTGGGTCTTTGAGAAAAACAGTCAAACTGACAACCCTGAGCCAAATCAGCTAAAGGTGGAGGGAAATCGACAAATTAGAGGAGACAGGGAAACGTGACAGCAGACGTCAGGAAATCCAGAGAATCATCAAGACATGCTTTAAAAACCTGTACTCTACCCATCTGAAAATCTAAAAGAAATAGATAATGTTCTCGATATCCACCGCCCACCAAATTAAATCAAGATCAGATAAGCAATTTAGTACTCCAGCTAACACATGGCACAGGCACACCTGTAATAAATAAATGTAATAAAAAGAAATGTTACCAATAAATTGTTGTGTTGTTTATAAAATAAAATACAAATAAAAAAAGATAAATGTCTGAGAATAGCAAAGATGCTTTATATAAATGAAAGAGGCAGAAATCACAGCACCAGATGTTAGGAAAGTCATCATGATGAAAACAGGGCAGGCCTCACACATGGATGAGTGAGCCATCAGAGTCTGAACAGCCACAGGCCAGAAATAGAGGCCGGAACAGAGAGCATGCATGTTGGAGGAGGAAGCTCTGTGTGGCCCAGAAAACACAAAGCATTTAATGAACAGTTACATGGAAATGAGCTCACTTGTTTTAGAGACTTAAAGATATTGGTCCTCAACTTCTTATTGCATTTAAAAGTCCCTCCAGAGAGAATTTAAATGATTGTGACATATAAAACTATGAAGCAAACAAAAGAAAATATAAAAAAGTATAGCGTGTTTGTGATTTATAGGTGAAGAAAAGTAGAAAACTCAAAATTATGATGCTAAGTGGGGCGGGGGGAGTGGCTCCAGTTGAATCATTACAAAGAAAGATACTTCTATTTGTTGAGAAAAATCACAGACCAAATTGTCAGATAAGGAAACATAAGTAAAAGAATACATTTGAAAATTCCATGGCTGAAGAACAAAGCAAAGAAAGCCCAGTAAAAAGTCAGGGTCACCCACGGGTAAGCTGAGAGCGCCAAACATGTAAGGGATGCCCGCTCATCTGCTAGTGACACGTACTTGAAGAAGTGAGAACCAGACGACAAATATCCCCTTGCCCATCACCCCACAGATCCACAAAGGCGGGTAGACACTGTAAAGAAAGGGCAGACGTGAGTGCCCCTTGGGCTGCTAGCCAGGGAGCACACATAAACACTAGTGAACGTAGATGTACAGGTTTCCTCTGACCCCAGATCCCCATCCCTGCCACCCATCCCTGTAGAGAGTCTGTAGAGAGTCTCCTGCACAGAGAAAGCTAATCATGAGGGTCCCTGACGACACAGGCACCTACCTTCTCCCGGGAGTTTGGGAAGCGGCTCCCCGCGTATGTGCGTGACAGACACTGATAACCACGCAGGAAAGGATCCCATCTCAAAACCACATCTTTGGGGCTGGGGAGATGGCTCAGTAGGTGAAGTGCTTGCAGTGCGAGAGTGAGGACCTGAGTTCGAATCCCCAGAACCCACTTTAAGCCAGGGACGCCACACACACCTGAAACAGCAGTGTTCTAAAGGCAAGATGGGAGGTGGAGGCAAGGGAGTTCCTGAAAGCCCGCGGACCAGCTAACTTGGTGTTCACAGGAGTAAATAACAAGTGACCCTTCTTAAACAAAGTGGAAGGTGAGGACTGGCACTTGAGGTTGACCTCTGACCTCCACACATGCATGCCATGTATATGCCCACACTCACAGTTGAACATATCCACACTACATACACATACACATCAAGTTTGCAAACTTCTAAAAACCACAAACACATAATGTGTTTTCTCAGAGAAGGAGTATGTTTAAATAAAATTTACAAAACCTTCACAGAAGACGAGCAGAAAGGCAGCTGGGCTCACTGTGTCCCTTACTTGGGCCCATGGCTGCCCCCATGGAGACAGGTGCTTTGAAAGCGCCAGGGACTGTGTGTGGGCATCTCGGTCCAGGTCCCTAAATCACATCAGGTGACCCCTACCCTCATCTGTGCCCCCAAAACACAGTCCAGTCCAATACTCTGGTTCCATTCCTACCCACCCACCACTGATCAAATTCTGTTAAGTAATTCTACCTTACTTTTTGTTTTCACTGGATAAGAGGTTTAAAATAACAGTCTTGGCATTTGCTCAATGGTTAAGTTGATTAAATTGCACTTACTGAACTTGGCAATTATTGGACTATGCCCAGGGTAAAGTCAAATACACTTATTGATTGGCAGATGGACAACTCAGACAAAACCCACAGAATTACTCAGACAGAATTGGACTACCAACTCAGTGTCAGGAGGCTGTACCTCTCTGACCAGGAAAACATGAGGCTAATTAATGGGGGTTGCCTGCTGCCCAGGACATTTTCTAGCCTACAGGAAAGCCTAGGGGGTCCAGTTTGGGAATTATTAGGGATAAATATTGAAAATCTGGGAGACTTTAACTTCTGTGTTCACTGTGAATATTTTAGGAAGGAATAGTGCTGCCGCTATTACTGTAGTGTGTGTGTGTGTGTGTGTGTGTGTGTGTGTGTGTGTGTGTGTGTGTGTGTTTGTGTGTTTGCACTCATGTGTGTGCAGGTACCCTTGGAGGGCAGAAGAGGGTATCAGATTCTCTGCAGCTAGAGTTACAGGTAGTTATAAGACATCTGATGTGGGTGCCGAGAACTGAACTCAGGTCCTCTGTAAGAGCAACAAGCACTCTTAACCACTGAACCATCTCTCCAGTCTCCAAAAGTGTTATTTTTCTAAATCTTTCCTTCACAACAGTTATCTTTGCAGTTTTATATTTTAGGTTTCACTTCCAAATGGAGGTCCCTTTCCATAGCATATAAAACATGGATAACTTTTTAAGTGTCCAGAGAGAGAGAGAGAGAGAGAGAGAGAGAGAGAGAGAGAGAGAGAGAGAGAGAGAAGAGAGATTGGGTAAGAGCAGCCACAGTGTGCATGTAGAGGTTAGAGGGAAAAAAGAAACCTCGAATGCCAGACCTCATCTTCTACCTTGTCTGACACTGTTGAGAGATCTCATTGTTCACAACTATATACATCTAACTAGCTTCAGGGAAGTTTCTGGCCTCTGCCTCTGTGCTGCATTGCTTTATATCAACTTGACACAAGCTAAAGTCATCTGAGAGAAGGGAACCTCAATTTTAAAAATGCCTCCATAAGATCAGGCTGTAGGCAAACCTGTTTAGGTAATTTTCTTAATTAATGATTGATGGGAGGGCCCAACCCACTGTGGGTGGTGCCTGACCTAGGCTAGTGGTCCTGGGTTCTATAAGGAAGTAGGCTGTGGTGGTATTGTATTCCCCAAAATATTGTGCATGCTAATAAACTTATCTGGGGTCAGAGAACAGAACAGCCACAATATTAAACATAGAGGATAGGCAGTGGTAGCACACGCCTTTAATCCTAGCATTCCAGAGGCAGAAATCCCTCTGGATCTCTGTGAGTTCAAGACCACTTTGGAAACAGCCAGGCATGGTGACACACGCCTTTAATCCCAGGGAGTGATGGCAGAAAGCAGAAAGGTTATAAGGCGTGAAGACCAGAAACTAGAAGCATTTAGTTGGTTAAGCTTTTAGGTTTTTGAGACACAGTTCAGCTGAGATTCATTCTGGATGAGGACTGAGAGGCTTCCAGTCTGAGGAAACAGGATCACCTGAGGAACTGGTGAGGTAAGTTGGCTGTGACTGTGGCTTGTTCTGCTTCTCTGATCTTCCAGCATTCACCTCAATAACTGGCCTCAGGTTTGATTTTATTAATAAGACTCTTTAAGATTCATGCTACAGTAGGCTGAACAAGCCAGTAAGCAGCACCCCTCCATGGTCTCTGCATCAGCTCCTGCCTACAGGTTTCTGCCAAGTTTGAGTTTCTGTCCTGACTTCCTTTGATGATGAACAGTGATGTGGAAGTATAAGCCAAATAAACCCTTTCCTCCCCAAGTTGCTTTGGTCATGGTGTTTCATCACAGCAATAGTAACCCTGACTAAGGCAGCCTCCCATCTCACTGTGAGGGCACTGGGATTTCAGATGCTATCATGTGTAGCTTTTATGTGGATTCTAGAGATTCACACTCAGGTCTTCATGTTTCTGTAGTACAGGGGTTTGACTGAAAAATGTCCTCCATAGGCTCATGTATTTGAACATTTAGTGATGCTGCTTGGGGGTGGGTTATGGAACCTTTGGGAGGTGCAGCCTTATTGAGGGAGTGTGTCACTGGAGGTGGGCTTTTGAGAGTCTACAGCCTCATTCAACTCCCAGTTCACTCCCCCTGTGTCCTACTATGTGGACAAAATGTGACCAGCCAGCTTCCTACTCCGGCTGCCATGCCCTTTCCACCACTGTGAACTCTTACTCTGGAAGTATAAGCCCAAATATGGTCCCTTCATCTTGGCCATGGTGTTTTATCACAGCGACAGAAAAGTAACTAACACACATGGCAAGCTTTTTACCCATTCAGCCATTTCCCTAGCTGCTATTTCATTACCTTTTAACTAAAGATTTATTTTTAAAATGTTAACTATCAGTGTGTATGTAGACACATGAGCATAGGTGCCTGTAGAGGCTGGAAGAGAGCACTGGATTCCCCAGAGCTGGTGTTAGTGAGGGTTGTGAACCACCAAATGTGGGTGCTGGGAACCAAACTTAGGACCTCTGCAAGAGCAGTAGTACTCTAAACCACTGAGTCATTATCCCAGGCCCCATTTCTTTATCAAGGGCATTAAAATCAAAGCTTTTATCCTGGGCTATGATAATTTTCCAAGTTTTATAACTCGCACAGATCACTAACACTTGTCACAGAAGTCTCCTGTCCCTGGCAGGTCCACGTAGATAGAGGAGGCAGTGTGGATGTGGTCTCATGTGAGGCCTAGTAAATAGACATGGTTAAAGGTAGTTATGAGCCTATTGGAAGGTGCCTGCCCATGTCTCACCGTGCCTTCCGGGTCCACCAGCAGCAAGTGCTTGGCCTGGCCATTGTGCATGCCCGTGAGGACAAAGGAGCCAGGGTTGGTAGTACTCTTTCGGACTAGAAAGTCTCCATCTTCTTGCAACAGTGCCTCTGCCTCCTTCCTGCTCATCTCTCCTTGGTACCAGGGCTCAGCATCAAGCTCCTCCAGCATCTTGGCATCTGGGGCTCTGGGTGAGACAGGGCTGATGCACTCCACAGACGCCGCTTTGCTCAACACGGGCCCCAGGGGCTGGTTCTTGAGAGCATCTTCAAAAGGCTCTGTCAACAACACATGACAGCAACAAATCAATCCCGGAAGAGTGAGCAATAAAAATAGAGTGAGAGATGAGAATTAAAATGTAACTCTTGATGAAGGCTGGCAACAGAGATGGATAGTCGGAACTAGAATTTAAATGCACCGCCCAAATTTTGGCATGACTCTCTGGTGAGTCTACTTTCCAGACAGCTGGAGGTTGTGCCTGGTGCCAAGGATATAAGCACATACTTTGTCTAGCTGGATAGAAGGACTTCAACGTTGCCCACCGCAAGAAGGCAAATACAACCTGCCGTTTCACACCACCTCCCTTCTCTGAACCATTAGTCAGCCTCCTTAAGAAATCTCATCCCTCCCCATCTTGCCCCTCACCACCTGCAGCATTTGGGAGAACGGGCTCTGCACCTCACCTAAGCAGCACAGTAGAGCTGATCCTGTCGACAGGGGCACTGGTGAGCAGCTGAGAATGTGAGCATGGGAGATCTGGCCCTGTCCCTCATCTGCCATAACAGTGGGTGAGGGAGAGATGCCACGCCCTGTCCATTGCCAGCTGTGGTAGGTGGGGGAGCTGGCCCTGGGGTCATGAGAGCTGGAGATCTGGTCCTGCCCCTCACCAGCCGCAGCACTCAGGAGAGTGGTTCCTGCACCTCACCTGAGCAACACAGTAGAGCTGGCCCTGGTGGTGTAGGTGAGCTGACCCTGAAGGCATGAAAGCAGGGGAACCCGCCCTGCCCCTTGTTCCTTGCTACGTAGGATGAACTAGCTGGGGCAATGCTGGAGAGCTCACCCTGGTGGTGAGGATGGGAGACAGCTGGCAGGCTGACCAACCCTGCAACCACCCAGGCTCAGAACCAGGGCTATGAGTTGGCCCACCCCATCTATGATCTACTGCAGCATGTGAGGGAGCTAGTCCTGCAGACCCAAAGCTGCAGGATCTCCATGACACAGGGCAACAACAGGATATCCAAGAGGAGTCCCAGTGAGGGCCCAGCATCGATAGTGTAGCAGAAACCACAGGCCTCAAGCTAGACCAATGACTCTTTGCAATAAACACTTGCAAGTAAAGATATATGAAGTAAAGAGCATACTGTGTGACTCACTGTGTCACACTGCAACTTCCACAATGAGATTTTTCTTTTTCTTTTTCTTTTTTTTTTTTCTCTCTTGAATCTTACTTTATTTTGGAGGGAGGTTACAAGGGCAGAGAGTGGATATGAAGGGGTGGGTAGATGAATGGTATTGAGATGCATGATGGGTAAGCCACAAAGAATAAACAGTTTTTAAAAAGAAGAAGAAAGAAACCCTGTATAAAAAATTGTCAGTGCCAAAGGAAAAGACAAACCGGGAAACTGATTCCATGAAAATCCCAAAGCACCACAGATTTCCTTCCAAATGCCTGGTGCCTCTGGTGGACTTGCTCCAGGATAGGAAGTCTACTTTGCCTTGCCCTTCACTGGCATCTGAGTGTTGCTATCACGTGTGGCTCATTCTGCTCTGGAACAGACTTCTTACTGTATAGCATATCAGTGGGTCCTCAGACCTCTGCGGGTGACAACACATACCAGTGGCAAAAGAACTCGCTAAGTGCATCTAATTCAACTTCAGCGTGTGATTTTCCAGTATGACGGTAAAAGCACTGGAAGAAAGGTATGCAGTGCTGGGTAAACACTGTGGACTTCGAATCGGACCACCTGCACAAGACAGTGTGAGCACAGCAGCAGCTAGAGTGGTCTCTCTTGAACGAAGCTCCACCCCCTAGTCCCACACTGTCTCTGGGATACCCACTGGAACTCTACAACTCCTCAGTGAATGGTGTAAAATAAACCAAATCTGGTGGAAGTTAGGAAGGGACGGAAAAAAGAGAGGAGAACACGTCAAAATAGAATTAGATCTTTTCGAGAATCACTAAATCTTTTATAAGTGTGGGGAAGAAAAGTGATTTTAAAACTATTGGATAAAAGATAAAATGATAATTTTGGTTGTGTGTGTGTGTGGTGTGTGTGTGTGCGTGTGTGTGTGTGTGTGTGTGTGTGTGTGTGTGTACACACGCATGTGTGTGCATGCATGTCAGGCCAGAGATTGGTGCTGGGTGTCTTTTTCAATTGCCCTCCACCTTATTCTTTGAGACAGAGTTTCTCGCTGAACCTGGAGCTCCACTGGCCTGGCCACCTAGTCCCAGACATCCTCCTGTCTCTGCCTTACCAGGGCTGAAATTACAGATGTGTGCTGCCACACCTGGTATTCTTACAGGGGTTCTAGAGGTCTGAACTCAGGTCATTATACTTAGGCAATAAGCACATTACTGGTAGAATCACCCCCCAGTTCCTGGGCTTTCCTTTCATCCTACTTTTAAAAATCTGATTATATGGAATACTAAAAACCTGTGCTCTGCTGTTTCTGTATCGTCATCACCTTGCTATCTCCACCATCAGCCATCATCGCTACCAGTGCCAACCTTAGCACACTGCCCATTATCACCATAGACCTAACATCACCAGCAGCATCACCACCATGTCTGACATCACTAGCAAAATCACCAGCATTATCATGACCATCATCGATAACATAAGTGGCACCATCACCGACCAGCATTATGGACATCACCAACATCACTACCACCATCCTTACTAACATCACCAGCATCAGAACCTCCCTCATCACTGACATCACCAGCATCAGAACCTCCCTCATCACTGACATCACCAGCATCAGAACCTCCCTCATCACTGACATCACCAGCATCAGAACCTCCCTCATCACTGACATCATCAGCATCAGTATCTCCCTCATCACTGACATCACCAGCATCAGAACCTCCCTCATCACTGACATCACCAGCATCAGAACCTCCCTCATCACTAACATCACCAGCATCAGAACCTCCCTCATCACTGACATCACCAGCATCAGAACCTCCCTCATCACTGACATCACCAGCATCAGAACCTCCCTCATCACTGACATCACCAGCATCAGTACCTCCCTCATCACTGACATCACCAGCATCAGAACCTCCCTCATCACTGACATCACCAGCATCAGAACCTCCCTCATCACTGACATCACCAGCATCAGTATCTCCCTCATCACTGACATCACCAGCATCAGAACCTGCCTCATCACTGACATCACCAGCATCAGTATCTCCCTCATCACTAACATCACCAGCATCAGAACCTCCCTCATCACTGACATCACCAGCATCAGAACCTCCCTCATCACTGACATCACCAGCATCAGAACCTCCCTCATCACTGACATCACCAGCATCAGAACCTCCCTCATCACTGACATCACCAGCATCAGAACCTCCCTCATCACTGACATCATCAGCATCAGTATCTCCCTCATCACTGACATCACCAGCATCAGAACCTCCCTCATCACTGACATCACCAGCATCAGAACCTCCCTCATCACTAACATCACCAGCATCAGAACCTCCCTCATCACTGACATCACCAGCATCAGTATCTCCCTCATCACTGACATCACCAGCATCAGAACCTGCCTCATCACTGACATCACCAGCATCAGTATCTCCCTCATCACTAACATCACCAGCATCAGAACCTCCCTCATCACTGACATCACCAGCATCAGAACCTCCCTCATCACTGACATCACCAGCATCAGTATCTCCCTCATCACTGACATCACCAGCATCAGAACCTCCCTCATCACTGACATCACCAGCATCAGAACCTCCCTCATCACTGACATCACCAGCATCAGTACCTCCCTCATCACTGACATCACCAGCATCAGTATCTCCCTCATCACTGACATCACCAGCATCAGAACCTCCCTCATCACTGACATCACCAGCATCAGTATCTCCCTCATCACTGACATCACCAGCATCAGAACCTCCCTCATCACTGACATCACCAGCATCAGTACCTCCCTCATCACTGACATCACCAGCATCAGTACCTCCCTCATCACTGACATCACCAGCATCAGAACCTCCCTCATCACTGACATCACCAGCATCAGTACCTCCCTCATCACTGACATCACCAGCATCAGTATCTCCCTCATCACTGACATCACCAGCATCAGAACCTCCCTCATCACTGACATCACCAGCATCAGAACCTCCCTCATCACTGACATCACCAGCATCAGTACCACTACCATCAATAGCATTACCCGCCACCACTACTATTTAGTAGCCATGTTTCAGGATATACAGACTTAATTTCCATACTTCTAAACAGATAATGTTTTTTTGATGTGTTTTCTACTCTCTATCGCCACTTCCCTTGTTTTGAGAACAAGAATAGAAATTAATGGGTGGGAATAAGACAGCTCTAGATTTCAACTTCCTCAAACTTCGGCCATATAAACGCTCTTCAGGCTTTCTGGCCAAGGTCACTGGTAAATTGACTAAATTAAACAGTTAAAACAGTCTGCCCATACTCAACACCTCTAGCCCAAAGTTGAGGGATATATAAGAACTCAAGCAGAAGTCAGGCATGGTGGAATGTGTCTGTAATCTCCAACTAAAGAGGCTGAAGCAGGAGGATTGCTGCGAGTTCAATACCAGCCTGAGCTATATAGTGAGTACCGAGCTAACCAGGGCTACAGAACAACACCTTGTCTCAAAACAAAACAAACCCAAAAAACAAAATAAAGAACCCCTGAAGCCTGGGCTGGAGAATCACTGTGTAACTCTATAGCTTGGAAAACAGCCCTACACTTCTTGGACTGTTTTCAATTTTTTTAATGAATGGATTATGTACTCCATAATTTACCTCCAAGCCCTGCCCCTCAACAGCTTTTGGTGGGAGCTTGGCATGTCTGTGAAGTCACAGTGGCCCAGGAGAAGCCAGTTGCAGAGACTGCAATGTCGACTCACTAAAAGAGCACCGGAGTCTGGCCTCACCCTCACAAGACACCGTGAACAGCAGTGTTGGACCGGTAGGGCTGCCTTTGACACAGGTCGGGGTTGCTCAGCCATTACAACTTCCCTTTTCCTGCTCTGCAGAGCAGGGGTGGTAATAGTAATAACCAAAGCTCCCTGTGCACAGACCAAGACCATTAAATCAGGTAGTAAGTGCCCAGCACATGGCAGTCAGGGCCGTGTTCTTCCCAACCCTCTTCAGTCCATCAACTTCTCAAAGAATTAAAGCAGGGGAGTTTAAGATGTAGGGCTGGGAGATGAGCTCAGTTGGTAAAGTATTTGCCTCGCAAGCACGAGGACCTGAGTTTGATCCCCAGAACCTATGTTTTAAAAGTCAGGCACATGGGGCTGGAGAGATGACTCAGTGGTTAAGAGTAATGCTGCTCTTGCAGAGGACCTAGATACAGTTACTAACACCCACAGGATGGCTCACAACCTCCTTCAACTTCATTTCTACTGGATCTGACTCTTCTGACCTCCACAGCCACCAGGCATGCATGTGGTGCACATATATTCCTGTAGGCAAAAACACTCAAGACACATAAAAATAAAAAATAAAGATAAATCTTTAAAAAAAAAAGAGGCATGCAGTTATGTGCTTGCAACCCCAGTACTGAGGAGGTGTAGACAGGCAGATCCTTGGGGCCCACTGGCAGTCAGGCTGATTGAGTTAGCAAGTTCTAGGCCAAGAGAGAGACCTTATCTCAAAAACAAGGGAAATCGCTCTTGAGGAATGACATTCAAGGTTATCCTATGGCCTAAGCACACACACATACACACACACACACACACACACACACACACACACACACACACACACACACCACAGAGGGAGAGAGGCACACCCACCCACATACATAAACTCCTCTCTCCCTCTCCCTCCCTCCCTCTCTCTCCCTATATGTATGTATGTATGTTTATCCTCATGAGCTTACAAAACTCTTTCCAAGTTCCTTAACAATTTCTACTCATTGCATTTCAGTTCATGACTTTTCTCTAACTATATATCAAAGAGCAAGTTCACATGACATCGTCAGCCCACACTGCCGATTACAGTGGGTTCCCACCCTTCCCTCCATCCTGCTCTACAGCTCACTGCTGAGCACGCCTCAGTGCCTGACAGCATGTGCTTGGTTGTTTAAACCACACCAGAGTAAGGCCATGTGTTTCCACACTCCTGCATAATTTCAGTAATTAGAAAAGTGTTTGACACATGATAAGCACTGGATACATTTTTGGAGGATGTTGGGAGGAAGGATGAGAGGGGAAATGAGAGGAAATGGATGGGGCAGGGAGGGAAGGGCAAGCAGAAAGGGAGTGGGGGAGGAGGGTAGGATTGACAGGAGGGAGGGAGGGAGGGGGGAGGGAGGTGGAGGAGGCAGAGGGAGGGCACCGTAAATAAGGTATATAGCAATTTCTCATCCGAATGTCCTTGCTGATAGACTGAGATCACTATGGCCACGTCATTTCTGTTCCCTCTGAAATCATACATCAGTTTGCACGGTATGGTCAATTAATATTCAAATGAGCACACATACATTGCTGTGTACATTGTTGGTCTTCAAGAGGAAAACCAGTTTCCTCAAAAGAAAGTCTCTTGGCTACAGAAAGGATGTGTAACCCAAACACCTTACTGGAACCCAATCCATGTCCAGCAGGAAATCCAGTGGTAATGTGGATATCAGATAAAAGGCAGCATAGAGAAAGCCATGGACACCTACTCATGTCAAAGAGGTCCTTTCGTGGGCTGCTCTCGGTGCTGCTGCTTGCTGCTGGCCAAACCTGTGGAGGGACTGGCTGGGTGTTGACGTAGGTTGGTGTCTCTCCGACCAGAGCCATGTGCCCTTTCCCTTCTGGTGTGCTATAGATGTCCAAGGAACCTGCACCAAGAAAGTGAGCCCTGTTACCTCTTAGGATGGTAACACTCTTCCAGCCTCTGTGTCTGGGATACCCAGAATTCCACAGAGCAGCTCCTCAAACCTGCTGGTGAGAACATTTACGCATAGTTAACTCTCTTCTAAGCCTGTTAGTACCAGGGCCCAACTAAGACACTTCCCAGTCCTTCATGTAAAAAAAAATCTGCCAGCCAGGGTAGGCACTGGTGGTTAAAGGCCTTGCCCAACATGGCCAACCAGGTTGGTGCTCCAGGACCCTAGGAGCTGAGCATTGAGTAATGCTGCCTCAATGTGACCTCCCAGTGAGCCAAAGGAGTGTTGAGGCCGGCCCTGAGGGTCTCAGCTGTATTGTCACTTAGAGGTAATGTGGAAAGTGCTACCCAAGAGCACCTGCTTGGATCACTCTTTCTGTGTGTGACCATCTCTGCTTTGCTTGTGGAAGAGAAACCTTGGTAATGTTCCGTTAGGAAGGGTGGCTACTGGCAAATAGATGAAGTAGTTCTTGTTTGTTCTGGGGAGAAACGTCTACTGGCTTCAAATAAGATCTTGAAGCCAGGTGAGTTGACTCATGCCTGCTCTCATCCCTGCTTTCAGAAGGCTACAAGCAGGGAGATCACTGGAAGTTCAAGGCCAGCCTGAACTATACAGCAAAACGACTTTGCCTCACCAAACACTAAAACAAACTTAAAAACTAAAAGAAAAATCATCTAAAAGCTTAGGACATACTGAGCTATGGAGTCTCAGGTGCCTGTCAAATGTTCATTTTCCTGATGTCTCCAGGGAGTCTCGCTCCTGCTCACAGGAAGGGTAGAGACCCATGGTCAGTGCGCCACCTGTGCAGAGCATGCTCTGCCCCTTACCTTGCCTGGTGGGTGCTCGCTGCCAGTCGTCACCAAATGTGTCTCCTAAGTGTCTCCCCTGGTAATAAGTTTGCTCTTTCCCTGCAAACTGGAGACACATGTCGATAATCAGAAAGAAGAAAGTATCTTTTCCTTCCTCCTCTCTGTGAGCCACGGTGTAGTGGGCGGGGCTTTGGGGGGTTGATGCATCCTCTCTGACACCCACCTTTCCATTCCTGCCTCCAGTGGCATTGCATTTGACAAACAAACTTGCATGGTTGTAAAAAAAAAAAGTCCACAATCTCATTAATGCTACAACGCTCCCCTTGTTTTCATGACCCCCATTATTAATTCCTCCCAAGGGTGACCACAGAGAGATCTTGTGCCAGCAGCCATCCACTCTCAGAGAAGTACACTCCCTGAGAACCAGGAAGCTGCAGTGTCAGAGCCTTGATGTCGGTGAGGTCCTAACATTTTTATTGGTACCAATGACCTTATTATATCCAGGGTTGGAAGTATTGCTCAGCCCACCGAGCACATGACTCGGGGTTTCATCCCTAGCAATACAAAAGAAAGGAAAAAATATTTTAAGCTCGTATAAAAGATGGAGATATAATAGTTTTAGGAAGCAATTTTGAGTTAAAGGTTGTTTGAGTTGGAGGGAATGGCGGTTCATTTTAATTGACAACTTAATACAACCTAGAAGAGACGCATCTGAGAGTCTCAGTGAGGGATTGCCTACATTCCGTTGGTCTGTAGGAATGTTAGTGGGGGATTCAGCCTTTTAAGTAGGTTGATGTGGGAAAATCCAGACCACTGTATGCTGCCCCGCTTCCTAGGCAGGGAGACAGACCTGAGTTGAGTAAGAGTGGAGGATGTGAGCTGAGCACAAGCGAGCACGGGAGCATTCACACACATCCCTCTGCTCTGGACTGTGGTTGTGATGTAACTCGTTGCTTCAGGCTCCTGCCCCAGGACTTCCCCACAGTGAAAGACTCTAACCTGGTGCCATAAGCTAGCTAAGCACTTGGTCCCCTCAGTTGGTTAGTGTCAGAGTGTTTTACCAGAGCAACAGAAGTGAAAAGAGAACAGAGTAGTGGATAAACAAAATAGAAAAAGAAATGCTTAAAATCCCCATACCTTCAGGGGATGGGTCCATTCTTTTCAGGGAACCCACAGTAGCATCACAGTCCTTTTAAAAAGCCTGGAATCCTGCCATCCTCTCGTTAAGACCACAGTATGTTGGCATAGGTGCTAAGACTTAGATCACTTCACTCATGCCTCAGATATGGTACTGTGGTTCTAAGGCACTTGGTCAATGCACTGTGATGTCAAACCAAACCCCCTCCTTCCCATGTGCTTTGTGATATCGGTGGAAGAAAGCCTGTGAGGGACTGTGCCAAAAGCTAAGAGGAATACCAGCCAGAAATAACACTGAAGAACATAAACGCAAATGAAGGTCATCGGTAACCCAAGAAGACAACCCCAAACGTACCTGAGCTGCGTCAGGAGCTTGGGGTCTGGCTTTCAGTCGAGCATCAAGAAACCCCCCTGGAGGAGGCATCTTACTGGGAACACTGTTGTAGTATGGGTGATCAGGGCCATCTCCCTCCTCTTCAGTCCATGGCTCATCCAGACTCTGCATTCTGTTAAAAGATTTTCAGTGACCTTCACCCAGAATTGAGCATACAGGCACACCTAATGACATTAGTGCCCCTCCACTATAGAAGCAAAACACCGGATATGGTTTAAGTGTGGCTCCTAACACACGTGGGTTCATGGGTTGGAGGTTTAATCCCCAAGGTAGTAGTGTTGAAAGGTGGTGGGATCTTTAAGAAGTGGAGTCTTTCTGTCACAAATGAGACCTCTACATCAATCCATCAGTCACTACCCTCCTCTTCCCCACAGGACTTAGGGATCATTGCAGAAGAGTGTTGTTTATTGTTTTTACTACTCTTTTGCTCTTTTGGGGAGCCTGACACCCAGCTCCCAAATAAATCACACACAGAGGCTTATTCTTAATTATGAATGCCTGGCCTTAGCTTGGCTTGTTGCTTGCCAGCTTTTCTTAATTTAAATTATCCCGTCTACCTTTTGCATCTGGGCCTTTCCCATTCTTTTCTGTAAATCTTACTCTTACTCTGTGGTTTGCTGTGTAGCTGGGTGGCTGGCCCCTGGAGTCCTCCTCCTTCTCTGATTCTTCTCACAGATTTCTCCCTCTATATATTCTCTCTGCCTGCCAGCCCCACCTATCCTTTCTCCTGCCTTGCTATTGGCCAGTTCTTTATTAGACCATCAGGTGTTTTACACAGGCACAGTATCACAGCTTCACAGAGTTAACCAAATGCAACATAAACAAAATAACACACATTAAATTAACATTTCCCAGCAGAAGAGCAAGGTAGAAATATTGTAAGCCCCAAAGGTAAACAATGTCTCCTGAACAAGACAGGGCCACGGCACTCATGAACTTACAACAGTTGTGGTTACCTGCACAAGATCAAGCCAGTAAACATTTTAGCATGGTGAGTGGGGGATGGGGGAGGCATTGAGCAGCTACTGACAGTTGATGGCTTTGAGGGAGGAACCTTCAGTTTTTATGGGTATGGCCCCTGGTAAATTGCCTGTGTTCTAGTGGATGACCCCATACCCATGAGCTCATGGTCAGCACAAACTGGAATCATCAGGTTATTTCAAAAGATAAAACAGAGGACAGGAAGTTGGGAGGGGTGGAGAGTGGATCTGGGAGGAGGCTCAAGAGTATGAGGGTAAATATGATCAAAATTTATTGTGTGAGATTCTCGATGAGTTAATAAAATCTTATATTAAAAACATGTTATTAAAAAAGAGAAAAAAGTGGAGCCTCGTGGAAGAACCATAAGCCATTGAGGACATGCCCTTAGAAAGACTCATGGACCTGGGGACTCTCTGGCTTCTTGCAACTTCCTCTTTGTTCTTGTGCACATATACCATGATGACATACATCCAAGAGGCCCTCAGGACAGCTGAGCATATGCCAGAACTGTGTACTTGGCTTCTAAAGGAAAGAACTACATAAACCTCTTTTCTTCGTAAGTCAGTCTGCCCCAGGTATTTTGTTACTATTCTATATTTCTATGTATCCCTTTCTGCATATTGAGACAGGGTTTCATTTATCCTAGGATTCTTGTGAGTTCCATATGTATCCAAGGATGACCTTGAATGATTCTTTTGCTTCTACCTCCAAGTGCCCAAATTACAAGCATGGAAAACCATGCCCAGCTAATGTGGTGCTGGGGATGGAACCCAAGACTTTCTAGGCAGTCACTTTACCAACAGAACTACATCCAAGCTCTCGCTATAGTACTGAAAAATGGACGAATAAGATACCTATTACTAAGAAAGAAATTAGTCACTGTTCCCTCAGCCATCTATATCATGGGCATCTGTAAAGATGAGGTGAGTGGTTGGACTAAGTCTGTCTTATTCAGAGATATACTCATTGGAATATGCCAGCCATATCGGGAATAATCACCTTTAACTGAAAAATAAATAAATTATACCTAAGGAGCACCAGAGCCTTAATATACATGTATGCATTTCAGCAAGCCATGAAACTTACATTAAATAAAATCATATAAAAATGTAAATTGCCTCACAAAAAATAGCAGAGTGTGGACCTCTGAAATTATCTTTCATATAATCAAAACTGGCCAGAGATGTTGATTGGTCTGACTCAACTTTTTCAGAACTCTGGAGTTAACCAGAAGCTTGTAGCAACCCAGGGGGTATTTTAAAAAAAAAAAAACCTGAAGACTGGGAAGAGAGTTCAGTGGGTAAGAGAGCTACTATATACGCTTGAGGACATGAGCTTGGAACCTGAGCACCCATCTATAAAATTAAGTGAAACTTACAGCATGCACCTGAAACTCCCACACCTGAGAGGTGAAAGGTGGGGGATTGCTGGAGCCTTCTGGCCACCAGCCTAGCTGGAAAATAGTGATCTCCAGGTTCAGTGAGAGACCCTGCCTCAAAGGAGAAGAAAGTAGAGAGTGGTAGAAGATGACACTTGCCGGGCGGTGGTGGCACATGCCTTTAATCCCAGCACTCGGGACACAGAGCCAGGCGGATCTCTGTGAGTTCGAGGCCAGCCTGGACTACCAAGTGAGTTCCAGGAAAGGCGCAAAGCTACACAGAGAAACCCTGTCTTGAAAAACCAAAAAAAAAAAAAAAAGAAGATGACACTTAAAGTCTTCCTCTGGGCTCTTGCACGTGTGCTCATAAGTGTGTGTGTGTACACACACACACTGAGGTTAATGTTAACTGTCAACTTGACAGAACCTATGGTCACCTCAGAGATGGCCCCTTGGGAATTTGCATGGGGCATTATCTTGATTGTGGTTTGATTAAGGCAGGAAGACCCGCCCATGTAGCCAGAAGTTTCTCGGTCCCGCTCAGGCCCCACGGTCTGAACAAATCTCTCCCATCTGTGGTTCTACAGCGGCTAATAACGTATTCACAGTGTACAGAAAGACCATCCCACAGCATGCCCGCTTGTGGGTAGGACCATAACCTGGGCAGAGGGATGTTGGACTGTGTAAGATGGAGAAAGCAATCTGAGCACTGACATTTGGGCATTGTCTCTTATTATGGTCTGTGACCAGATGCACCTTGAGCTGTGAACCAGGATAAACCTTTCTTCCTTGGGTTGTTTTCGTTAGGACATTTCATCACAGCAACAGACAAGAAAACTAGGAAAAACACATAACACACAAATATAACACATACAACTAAAAAATAAACATTTCAAACAATGAAGTAAACAGTAAGATCGGTATCATTGTGGCATCTTAAATAGCCCTGTTTGCATCCCTGTGGTAGCCTTGTAAGCTAACAGCTATCAGTCAATGATAACCATCACCCAAGTAGCCACCAACAGGACAGGGCAGTTCTGAGCTCCCTTCAAAAGCCAGTCCCCCCAAATTTATTATTATTTTCCCTGTCTGTGGTGGTGTGAAAGAAAATGGCCCCCAAAGTGAGTGGCACTGCTAGGAGGTGTGGCCTTGTTGGAGGAAGTGTGTTACTGTGGGGGCGGGCTTTGAGGTCTCTTTTGCTCAAGCTTCCCTCAGTGCTACTGTCAGTTGACTTCCTGTTGCCTGCAAGATGTAGCACTCCAGCTCCAGCACCCCAGCACCTCGTCTGCCTGCAGGCTGCCATGCTCCCTGCCATGATGATAATGGACTGAACCTCTTGAAACTGTAAGCAAGCATCCCAATTAACTGTTTTCTTTATAAGAGTTACTGTGGTCATGGTGTCTCTTCACAGCAATAAAAACCCGAACTAAGACACTGTTTGAGTGTTCCTTTGAGCACCCAATTCCCCAAGCTGTCTTTTTAAAAATTTACTTTTAATTATCACATAGTAATTTTGCACATTTATTATGGGGTGCTGTGTGCTAACTTGATACATTTATACAACACACAGTGACCAAATTAGAGTAATTAGCATTCCCATCTCCTTAAGCACTTATCATCTGTTTGTGTTTGCCAAAGCTGTCTTTATTTAACCTGATGCAGAGCTTGCCTCAGGCATCTGTCACAAATATTCAGAGGCAAATGTTTATCATGTGGCCCACATGAAGCTGGGAATAACATTTGGGTCAAACCATTTTTATTAGTGGAAGGAAGTGACAAAGAATATAGAATTTATGGAATCTGAGGGGTTATTGGTTACCAAAACCGATAACCACAACCGATGGCAACCACAAACCCTAAAATGAGAAGCTGGAGTGCTAATAATCTCCAACATGTTTATCTAGAAGGCTACACACATTTACAGGATTCAGCTTGTGTTCATTCCCACAGGGTGTAACATGGCCCTAAATTCTCACTTCTGGGTTACCATTAAACACCTCACAAGTAGAAGGTGAAAGCTGGAAAAAAAAACCCTGATTCACCATATTTTGAAGGAGTATACCAACACACACATACACACACGTACAGGAAGATATACATATACACACATATATACATACACATATATATGCGTATACATACTATGACACACACAAACACACATACACATGCACACATATAACATTTACATGTGTGTACATGTATATGCATGCATATCCAATACATATGTTCATATATGCATGCACACACACGTAGCCCTTCAGTAAAGACTGAGAGGCTGAATTGTTCAACATTTAAGGAAACCTCTGCAAATGTTAGCAAAGGAGCGTAGCTAAGGACATAAACGACAAATGTAGATTATAGAATGTATAGAATTAGTTGGTAAAGTCACCAAAACCACCACAAACATTAACAGAATACATCCTAGAGAGAGAAGAAATGGGTTTCAGTCAGGCAACCTTCTACTGCTTACATTTTTAGTGTCAGAAAAAAATTATAAGCTATATTAAAAAAAGAAGAAATATACAGGAAAAATAAGTATACAGGAAAAATAAGTCCATAGAAACTGTCACGAAGAAATCTCACACTTCAGGATAAATAAAGACTAAATATGTTCAGTCAACTTCAATGAAATGATGTATGAAACACTAAATATGAAAATCATGCCTCACGAAATGGGGCTTACCAGCATTCATGAAGAAATAAAAATAATAATAAATTCTAGAATTGAAAATTCTACCATCACTGAAAAC